CCCACAGGAGCCACAGCCTCCCTTGGAGCCCCCACACGAGCCACAGCTGGAACAGGCACAGGCTGGCACAAAGCAGCTGGAGCCGCAGCCTCCGGAACAGCCACAGCAGCCCATGGTTCTGGTGGGTTTGGGGCGGAGTCGGTCAGAGACGCAGGTGCAGAGGGGAGGTGTTCAGCTGTGGAGCCTCGTGGGCGGGGGGCTTTACGTACCCGCCTGGGTGTCATATGGCCGCTTCCCTGTTCCTCTGAATGTACTTTCTCTAGGGGAAGTCTGCTTTTTTCTTTTATGTTGAAACAACCACACAAACATTTGTTTACAAGCACTTTTTATTTACCCCCTTCATCCCTGTCACCTGACCCTGGCAACATCTCGAGCTGGTGTTTCCAGTTCCGAGAGCTCAGAAGTAGGAGGCGAGCGCCAGGCTTGTGTCCAGGCGGCGGCTCCCGTGGCCCAGTGAAGGTTCCCTCGGGTCCAGCACGGGGACGCACGCCCGGTCCCTGCCGCCCTGGCACTGAGCTGTGGGCGTGGCCATTGCGCTGCGGGCGTGTCCCCGAGCTGTGGGCGTGTCCCGGGGCTGTGGGCGTGGTCCCGGGGCTGTGGGCGTGGCCCCTGTTCTTCTCTGGCTTCTTGTCCTGCCTGAGCTACCTGCTCCCTAGACCCGCCTTTCCCCTCCTAGACCTGAATGGGGGGACACTCTGTCCGCAGGGTGCAGAGACCAGGAGCTGTGGGGGTACAGAAGCTTCCGGGTGGGTTAGGCTGGCATTCCAGGAAGCCAGTGTGCAGAGAGGAGGACGCAGGTGGTGTTGAGAAGGAGCCTCCCCCGCCTCTGAAGCCCCTGACACAGCCCCTCCCCGGTGAGGCCCCTCCAGTTTCCCGGTGCCCCGTCCGCTTGCTCCTCTCCTGGTTGTGGGAGTTCAGCCACAGGGGGTGCCCAGGCACCTCCAGGGGCAGCCTGGGTCTTGGCTCTGGTGTGCATGTGTGTTTTGTCTCTAAAGCACTCTTTACCCCCACGTGGCCCCTACTAGGGTTTCCCTGGGTGACGTAGTGGCAGCCCGTGGTCCAAGGTGTCAGTCTCACTGCTATTCTGTGGGAGAGGTGCCTGCCGGCTCCCCTCCTGCTGAAATAGAGAGCATTTCCACTCCAGACATCTCCTTGTCAAACGTCCTGGGGA